GTGGAGGGAGGAAAACCGGAGTACCTGGAGAAAAACCCTCGGAGCAAGGCGAGAACCAACAACAAGCTCAACCCACATACGGCAGCCATCCACAATTTAACCTGGGCTACATTGGTGTGAAGTGAAGGCTCTCACCACTGAGCCAACTCTGCTACCCAGTTTAAGTTTGAAGTTTCCAGTTTGACAACATATCTGTATTGGTCAAAAGTTAAAATGTCAAAATGAGACAGGAGAATTTTATGATGTTACGTTAGCTTTCATGATTACATTGACCAGGGATATATGCAAGGCAAGAATTGTACACTGCATGATGTGAATGTGAATTCAGCAACCAGTGTTGCGGATCATTTACTTATTGCAGTGTCTTTCATTTCTGTAGGTGTCAGCTGGAACAGTGGACAGTGCAAAACAGACATTAGAGTCTCTTCTTAAGCAGTGTAATGAGCCGCAAGCTGATGAGGTACATAAACATCACTGCCATGACAGCTATAAAAATCTGCTGTCAGTGTTTAACATGTTTTCTACCTTGATTTCAGGAACCAAATATAGCGTCAGTAAGGGAAAAGGTGCTGCCAACCATCACGCAACATCTTGTCAGGGAAATTGTTTCACCGAACCAGACCATCAGACAACAGGTTGAAATATAGCTTATAACCATAGAATCACAACCTCAGTTAATACAGATTGTGGTGTTCCTTTTGAGCAGTTTTGGTTTTAGAGACCAAAATTTATAAAATGTCAACATATTGCGATGTAGTCTGGACATCTTTTTGTTGTGATCAGTTTACTTGGTTAGAAAGAAAATGTTGACCTAATAATTTGTGTGAATTGAAAGATGACATTCATAACAACCTTGGTTGAATGCATGACTGAACCAGGACACTGTTCTAGAACATGAATAAGTTGTGATTAGTTAAGTCTGTTTCATATGATCATATGGTTACCGTATGTCTGCAGCAGTCCTTATGAGATAGAACTTTTAATTCACAGGCCCAATGTTCTGTATCTGTACTTGCCAAGATTTACAACTCATCAGTTCACAGCATCATGCTTCCCCACAAAGCAGTAAGTTGAAGTACTATTCATTTTTGTAAGCAAAAAAATCCTTGTCAGTGTGAAGTTTTTTATGTATAAAATGTCCTCCATTGATTTGTTTAGAATAGTTGATAAAAATGGGGGCACCAAAGGGGGAGATTGACTTACATGAATGCATCTGGTATCTCTGAAAGGTTCCAGAGTTAATGCGTTTCTTTTATGACTATATGAAACTGAACTGGAGAGAGTAGAGGTTGATAACAAGGTACACGTATGAAACCCTCAAAGCAAGGCTCCAACCATCATCAACAAGTCCAGGACCTGGACCCTGGACACCATCTCCAACATAATCTGACATAAACTACGTAATCAGTGACGAAACATTTATTGTTGTTATTTTGCAAACCAGCTTATAATAATTATTCAACGTGATCTTTTGTAGATTCTGGAGGACATGATTCCACCCAAGGTATGTGCTACATAG